CCCGTCAGGTTTTTACTTATAAGTTCTCCTCACGTGCCTGTGGTTCTGGGCCATTCCTGGCTTCAAAAGCATAACCCCCTCATTGATTGGACAACGGGCTCCATAAAGGGCTGGAGCCCATTCTGCCACGCCCACTGCTTGGGGGCTGCACAACACCCCCCGCCTTCCCCCAACCCGGCATCGGGGAACCCCCCTGACTTGTCCTCCGTTCCGGCCGAATACCAGGACCTGTGGGAAGTCTTCAGCAAGTCCCGGGCGATATCTTTGCCCCCGCACCGCCCCTATGATTGCGCCATCGACCTATTTCCTGGCACTTCTCCCCCTAGGGGGCGTCTCTACTCCCTGTCTGGTCCGGAGACCAAGGCCATGGAGGCCTATGTGGAGAGCTCTCTAGCGGCAGGAATTATCCGCCCGTCGTCATCCTCTGCGGGGGCGGGATTCTTCTTTGTGGAAAAGAAGGATAAATCCCTACGCCCCTGCATTGATTACAGGGGCCTTAATGACATCACCATCAATAACCGCTATCCACTTCCCCTCATCTCCTCAGCCTTCGAGCTCCTTCAGGGGGCGACGGTCTTCTCCAAACTGGACCTGCGAAATGCCTACCATCTGGTTCGGATCCGGGAAGGGGACGAGTGGAAGACGGCTTTCAACACCGCTAATGGCCACTATGAATATCTAGTGATGCCCTTCGGCCTGACCAACGCCCCTGCAGTGTTCCAGGCACTGGTCAATGACGTATTCCGGGACATGCTGAACCGGTGCGTCTTTGTGTACCTGGACGACATCCTGGTATACTCCCGTTCTGCCCAGGAGCATGTTGCTCACGTCCGCCAGGTGCTCCAGCGCAAACAATAGAGAACCAGCTGTTCGTCAAGGCGGAGAAGTGTGAATTCCACCGCTCCACTATCTCGTTTCCTTGGATACATCATTGCAGCTGGGAGCATCCGAATGGATCCCTGCAAGGTGAAGGCGGTGGAGGAGTGGCCACAACCGCACTCCCGGGTTCAGCTCCAGAGGTTCCTGGGATTCGCAAACTTTTATCGTCGCTTCATCCGGGACTACAGCACCTTGGCATCTCCCCTCACCGCTCTCACCTCTACCAAGGTCCGCTTTCGCTGGTCTCCTGAAGCGGCTCGTGCTTTTGCAGATCTTAAGCAGCGCTTCACCACGGCCCCCATCCTCATCCAACCCGACCCCTCTCGCCAGTTTGTGGTGGAAACGGACGCCTCGGAAGTGGGCGTGGGAGCCATTCTGTCCCAGCGCTCAGCCCTCGACCAGAAACTGCATCCCTGTGCCTTTCTCTCTCACAGACTCAGTCCAGCGGAAAGGAACTATGACGTCGGCAACAGGGAGTTGTTGGCCGTCAAAATGGCGTTGGAGGAATGGAGGCACTGGTTAGAAGGCTCGGAGCTGCCGTTTTTGGTTTGGACCGACCATAAGAACCTTGAGTACCTTCAACGCTAAAAGACTCAACTCCAGGCAGGCCGGGTGGGCTCTGCTATTCAGCCGTTTTAATTTTCTTCTTTCATATCGCCCTGGCTCCAAGAACGTGAAGCCGGATGCCCTGTCTCGAGTCTTCAGCCCTGCTACCACCCCTCCGGATCCCGGGCCCATCCTTCTCACTTCCTGCCTGGCTACATCCCTGGTCTGGGGAATAGAAGCGGAGGTCCGCAAGGCACAGCGGTCAAGCCAGGACCCTAAGAATGTCCCTACAGGCTGCCTGTTTGTTCCGGACCCCATGCGGTCTCAAGTTCTGAAGTGGGGCCATTCCTCCAACCTCTCGTGTCATCCCGGGGCTCGCCGGACCCTTGCTTTCATCCGTAGGCGGTTTTGGTGGCCCACCATGGGGGTGGATGTGCCCTCTTATGTCTCCGCCTGCACGGTGTGTGCCCAAAGTAAGACCTCGCGGCAAGCTCCGGCCGGCCTCCTTCAACCGTTGCCTACGCCACGCCGCCCGTGGTCCCACCTGTCACTGGACTTTGTGACCGGTCTTCCTCCTTCCGATGGCAACACTGTCATCCTCACTGTCGTGGACCGGTTTTCCAAGGCAGCCCACTTTATCCCCTTACCCAAGCTCCCCTCTGCCAAGGAGACTGCGCAACACGTCTTCCGGATCCATGGACTTCCCACTGACATGGTGTCGGATCGGGGTCCCCAGTTCGCATCCCAGTTCTGGAAGGCGTTCTGCGCCCTCATCGGGTCGTCAGCCAGCCTGTCCTCCGGATTCCACCCAGAGTCTAATGGTCAGTCGGAGCGGGCCAACCAG